AGCTAACCCTGGTCCAGTAACAAACTCCCTTGTTATTAGTGCAAAGATGTAACTCCACACTACTGAAACTGATTTGCCTGGACCACTCTTAAGGAAACTTATATACAGTCCAAGTCTCACCCTAGACTTCTGTTGAGAATCCTCATTTTCTTTGTGAATATACACAAATTTCAGGGCAAACCCTATACGAGAGAAACCACTTGATTTGGGGCTGATTACTGAAAGTGGGTCACAGTGCCTGTTCACTTCCAAATTCAATTCCTTAAAAACTAGGGAATGCGCTTACCTTTTCTATCCTCTTCACACTTTGGCTTTGCTTATGTTAAGAGCCAGCTTTTTAAAGAGGTTCAGGATGGTGTGAAGCTTCCAAAAGCTTAAGTGACCACCCCCACCCTCTTTCATATGTACTCAAGGCTCTGTGTCATGTTCAGGGGGCAACAAGAGGTGAGAATCAGGAGGGAGAGGAGAGGCACTTGGTGACAGAAGCTAATGATGCAAAGAGGAGAACCCACAAGCAGCTCAAATGGGGCAAAAGTAGCTGCAAAGATTAAGGTAGGAAAACATCTAATAGCATCACAGATATTCGTCGCCACCACCAACCCGGTACTCCAGTGCCTGAATAGCTAAAATCTTGCCTGTTTATGAAGCTTCCTGCCCAGGAGCTGAGGTTTGCTTTCAAAGGGAGAATGGGTCTGGTGTTATTTTTCTCCCAGAAAATTGCTTGTACTTGAATCTGAGACATCTGATCATCAACCTGTTCGACCTATGGCCACCAGTGCCGGACCTTGCTCCTGCGCCCTTCGGAGGCCGAAGCTGGTACCCTCTTGCAGCCACAGTGCCAGCCTCAGGGAAGTGGTGTAGCACAGGCTCAGCCCTGGCTGCGCTACAAGCTAAACTCCACCACATTCCGAATCCGTTAACCCTTTTCTGACCATATCTGAATCCCACCCCTCTTTCCCAGCATTGAACTCTGCTGCTCTGGCCCGGGGTACTCAGGCGGCTGGATTGAAGGCAGAGGCCCCACTTGCGTGCCGCACGGGTGGTGTGTGAGCCTCTAGGGTCGGAGCCTGACGCGGTTGCCTGACGCTCTTATTCTCCGGAACCCGCTGCCTCTTGACCCTCTTGCTGGCCCCAGCTGAGCTAAACCTGGGGTTGGCTCCGCATTTCTGCGCCTACCGCCTTCAGGAAAGAAAGCTGCAAAGCAGGTTGGCTATGCCTGGCCACACGCAGCAGCTCTGGGTTTGTAGATCTCACGTGCTCTGGGCTTGAGGCCGGCGGCTGGCCTCCCGTGGAGCAGGTACTGGGAGATCTTTTTCCCCTACACCTCGGAGTTGCTTGGGGCCTCGTGTTATTTGTGCCAAAATCTCTTTAAACTGGTTCTTTTCTCTAATCCTTTCAAAATTACTGGCATGGATTCTTTTTCTCTCCCTCTGGATTATGTAAACATTACACACATACACACAAAACCCCCCGCGCGCGCGCGCGCACACACACACACACACACACACACACACACACACACACACACACACACACACACACGAGTTCAGTAAGATTGCTTTGACACCACTTCCACTCTGTCTCCCCAGATCAACGCTTCTAGCGAACCCATTTGCACGGGGGATTCAGCCCTCTTTCCTGGCGAGGCTTATGAACCTGTCACCAAGCCAGTGCCTCCGAAAGGAGGAAGTGCGGTGGGACTCGAAGGATACATGGCGCCCGCCCCCAGCTAGCTGCTCTTCAGATGATCTGCAACCAAGTTGGCTGATAAAATATTTAGTAACGACCCAGTAAACATGACTGCAAATACATTAAAGCACTTCAGCGCGAGGCTTATGATTATTTCAAAACTTAAAAAGGAGATCATAGATTGTCACTGTTTCTGTACCCCAGCCGGAAACCGAACCTTCCCGAGGTGGGTTGATGGGTGGGTGAGCTGCTTCGCCTCCTCTTCTCCTCTCTCCAGCATAACGCCGAGGCTTTCGGCGGCGGTTTGTTTATTTATTTATTTTAGTCGTGTAGTTTAAAGGTGGGGGAGGGGGCGTCAAGGACACGCAGTACCTACTCACAAAGCAGGCTCAGGTGTGTGAGCTATTGTGTATTAACTGGAAAAGACAGACTCTGGAAGTTTTACAGGGAGAGAAGAGGCCACCGGCTCGCGCTTTGTATACTTTGCACTTGAAATCGTTACATTCAACTGAATATTTGGCTCATTCAGATCCGAAAAGTCTCCTAGCATCATCGAATTCCCTCCTCCGCCCCTCCTCTCTAAAGAGAGAAGGGGGGTAAAAATGTTTAGTAAATTGCACATCTTTGAATCTTCCTAAAGCAGTGGTCACAAAGCTTAAAGGTGACATAACAGAGCTCACGTAAACCAACACACTTTCCCCACCCCCCAAGCCAACAATAAAATCATCCCCTTCAATTTGCCATGATCGTCGCGACCAGGAGCCAGGTGATTATCCTAATTAATGTCTATCTAATTAAATTACTGTCAGCAGCTAACCAATGGCAGGAGCCGTTTCATCGGCTGCATAAGCAGCAAGATCAAAAGTGAGCCTTTTCTGATTGCTGCATAGTGTCAATTGGCCAATCTCTTCTCCCAGGGAAAAAAAAAAAGTAAATCAAACCTTTGAGAAGCATTTGCTGGTTGAAGTGCTTTCTGTCTAGTGAGGGGTCTGTGGATTCCTAGTTTATGATAAACAGGACTTTAAAAACCAGGGACGGGAGGGCGAGCGTTCAGGTTCTAGAGCTATGCAGCTGGAGCACTGCCTCTCTCCTTCTATCATGCTCTCCAAGAAATTTCTCAATGTGAGCAGCAGCTACCCACATTCGGGCGGATCTGAGCTTGTCTTGCACGATCATCCCATTATCTCGACCACTGACAACCTGGAGAGAAGTTCACCTTTGAAAAAAATTACCAGGGGGATGACGAATCAGTCAGATACAGACAATTTTCCTGACTCCAAGGACTCACCAGGGGACGTCCAGAGAAGTAAACTCTCTCCTGTCTTGGACGGGGTCTCTGAGCTTCGTCACAGTTTCGATGGCTCTGCTGCAGATCGTTACCTCCTCTCTCAGTCCAGCCAGCCACAGTCTGCGGCCACTGCTCCCAGTGCCATGTTCCCGTACCCCGGCCAGCACGGACCGGCGCATCCCGCCTTCTCCATCGGCAGCCCCAGTCGCTACATGGCCCACCACCCGGTTATCACCAACGGAGCTTACAACAGCCTGCTGTCCAACTCCTCGCCGCAGGGCTACCCCACGGCCGGCTACCCCTACCCGCAGCAGTACGGCCACTCCTACCAAGGAGCTCCGTTCTACCAGTTCTCCTCCACACAGCCCGGGTTGGTGCCCGGCAAGGCGCAGGTATACCTGTGCAACAGGCCACTTTGGCTGAAATTTCATCGGCATCAAACGGAGATGATCATCACTAAACAGGGAAGGTAATGCTACTTTCTTGGCTGCCGCCGTTTCAGGCGTGACCCTGAGCGAGCGCACCCAAGTTGTGACCGCCAGGCAGCGACGATGTGGGGTCGGGGAGTGAAAAGGCGCTCGGGTGTGCCCTGGAGTTGGCTGGTTTTGGAAAAGGGGAAAGTGGAAGGGATAATAACCACCGTGGTGATGTTGGTGGCGGGGAGTCTGCTGTACCACTGCGGTCGGTCGGAGAGTCAGTCAGTGACTGGAGCAAGATGAAGAGCCTTGGCCGGCCGCTGCCAGGCGTTAGAACAACTCATCAAAGCTGGCCTGTGCCGACAGGTGGAGAAGCAGGTCGCCAACCCCGCTCTTCACCCTCGCACTGATACCTGCCAGCCCCCTACTGCAGAGCACTCGCTGCTGCCTCCCCGACTTTGGCCTTATGTCTTCCCCTCTCCCACTACCCTTTTCCAGATCAGCGAATATTCGTTCAGGCACACTGTGAGGACAAGTTTTGCTTGGCTATCTGGCGCCCCGCTTCTAGCATTTAATTTCTAACATTTATTTTCTTTATTCCTTGTTTTCTCTTCCTTCTTAATTTAAACAGGCGCATGTTTCCCTTTTTGAGTTTTAACATTTCTGGGCTCGATCCCACCGCTCATTACAATATTTTTGTGGATGTGATTTTGGCGGATCCCAATCACTGGAGGTTTCAAGGAGGCAAATGGGTTCCTTGTGGCAAAGCGGACACCAATGTGCAAGGCAAGTCCTTCCAATTAACACGTTTTCTTGACACTTATTTAGGTGAGAATGATTAATTAAAGCCTTTGTGGACTGGCTCGAGCGACTTTAAAAACGATCGGCCAATGACTTCCTAAAGAAGAGAGGGACAGGGGGACAGACTGAGCGGCAAGAAAGGGGAGGATTATGCAAAAGCTATTTTAATCATTCCCAGTTAATGGGAAGAAATCGCGGCTTAAAAAAATAGCCCAGCTAATAGGCCACACTGTGAAGGGGTATGTGTGTGTGTGTGTGTGTGTGTGTGTGCGTGATGTAGTACAGAGTACAGAGTTAGGGCTGGACAGTAAACCTATTTTAATAATCCCCAGTTAATAGAAGAAAGTATGTCCCCTCCAAAAAAAAACAGCTAATGGACTTCACTGTGTAGTAAGGTGTGTGTGTGTGTGTGTGTGTGTGTGTGTGTGTGTGTGTGTGTGTGTTTCATGTGCTAAGGAGTTGGGACTGGGCAGTGCCCAGAACATATGTAAACAAGCTATTTCTTTATCAAGGAAACCGGGTCTATATGCATCCGGATTCCCCCAACACTGGGGCTCACTGGATGCGGCAAGAAATCTCTTTTGGAAAATTAAAACTAACCAACAACAAGGGAGCATCAAACAACAATGGGTCTCTCTCTTTCTCTCTCTCTCTCTCTCTCTCTCTCTCTCTCTCTCTCTCTCTCTCTCTCTCTCTCTCTCTCTCCACACCCTTCTTTAGTTTACAGCAGCACGAAAAACTGGGTAGGATTTGTTTCCATCAGTGAGGACTTCGAAAATAATTTCTACCTCCCAAAATTGTATTTAATCCATTAAGTTTCTTTCTTTGCCTTCCACCCAACCTCATTCTGGAATTCACCTTCCCAAACACAAATACTGATTCATTTTAAAAATAAACGCACGAGATTTGAGATTTGTAGGTTGTGAAAAATCTTTGTTCCTCTTCTAAGGAGGACTAGGGGAAAGGGATTGATGATTGGCATTCCGGCTTCGTTTTCCCCAGTGCCCAGAGGATTCTGGTTCCCAGAGGTCTGGGCCAGTGTGTCCTGGCCACCCTGTCATCGGGAGGCGAGTCCCTTAGCCAGTATGAGGCAGCGGGCTCCAGTTGGCCCACCCTGGCCTGGAGCGAGCCCGGGAGGCTGGTGCAAACAGGCACGCGTTAAAAGGCGCTCTCCTTTCTCTTCGCCGGACAGATGGTGGTTTTACAGTCCCTGCACAAGTACCAGCCCCGTCTGCACGTGGTAGAAGTGAACGAGGATGGCACAGAGGACACCAGCCAGCCTGGCCGCGTCCAGACGTTCACTTTTCCGGAGACTCAGTTCATCGCTGTCACCGCCTATCAGAACACCGATGTAAGGAGGCTCGGGGCTGGGCGCGGGCAAGTGGCACTCCCTTATCCGCTGGTCTTTCGTTACTCTGTGCAGACTAGCCTTGGTTAAGAGCTGGCCCTGCAGCACAGCTTGGGATAGGGCTAGGGGCCTGCCAGGCCCTTCCCCCAAATACCTAGCGGGTAGGGAAGCTCAGCCTGTGTGCTTCCAGCCCTGCTAAGTGCCCCCCTTCCCAGCTGTGTGGTGGCTAGGACCATCCTTTTCGAGATTTAGTTTGGTCCTTAAACTAGAACACGTCAAAACGTGCGTTTTCTACCTTCCAAAAATCTCTTTCGGTAAACAAGCAGATCTGCTCCATGCATTTTATTAGCAAGCTATGAAATCTAAAATAAAAATGTTTCCAAAATCTCAGAACTGGTGGCTAAAATGAACGGGTATTACTATTTTGAGAGTTCAAAACAGGACAGTATGTACACATTCGTAGATATGCAATGCCGAAAACGCCAGTAAAACCAAGCTACAGGGAGTTTGCTAGCACTAAAACTTTCGAAATATTTGTATGTTTGCAAAAACTGATTTTAGAAGCTGATGTGACTCTAGAACAATAGAAGTTCTGTGTTTGGTCATGTAAGTAAAAATGTCAGAAATGAAATAATTATTTCAAATCAAGCCAATTTTAAGATGCAGTTTACAGTTTGTTTGTTTGTTTGTTTATTGAGAATCAGAATTGGCCCATAAAAAAAATACCCGTGGTTAAACTCTTGAAAACAGTAAAGAGAGAAAGATATTAAAGATTTTTGTCTTAGTATATTGCATGTAATCAGGATTTTTTGAAATGACGATTTGAATCAACTTACAGCCACAGGAGAGCTAACTGAAATGCTTTCAGGTATTATTAATTTAAAGCCAGTTCTCATAACTTTCCCAATGCTTACTGCTTTTCCTCTCCTGCTAGTCTCTAGAAGTTTTGCTAGAGAACCTTTGCTATTTAATGACTCAGTAGGCCCAAGCCCCTGTCAATGGCAGATGATATATTCTCAAACATGCAACCTTTCCATGGCAGCAGGGGAGACCATAATCACCCTTTTCTCTCTTTTTTCAGATTACACAACTAAAAATAGATCACAACCCCTTTGCAAAAGGATTTCGAGATAATTATGACACGTAAGTAATTTTATATGTTCCTTCTCAAGTAGCTGTTGAACTGGCCAGTAGCTTAAGTAAGGGTGGATTGTTGCATTTAAGGAGTTAGAGTCAAATGTGTGAGGAAATTGAATGGGATTTTCCCTTCCTTATCTTGTTGGTTCACTCTCTGGACCTTGTGGCTTGGTATTTGTGTGGTTTTGGTTAAAAGTTTTCTCTACTTATTTTTAGCTTTCTTTCAATTTCCAAAGTTATTGCCCCCGCCCCCCGGAGGGGGGGCATTGGCTGGCTGGCTAAGGAAGCTGCCTTGGTTCCCCCCAGTATGCTATATGTGTGGCTGCAGATGCTCAACTCAGGTTGTCTGTGTCTGAAACGGGGCAATTCTGCCTGAAAGTGCATGTGGCTCTGGCAGTTGTTACAGTCTCCTTGGCATATGTGACTTTTATTTACTCATTTCCAAGTTTTGTGTGCTAGCATTTCCTTTGAAGTTTACTATGGACCGAATAAAAATGTACACTCACCAGGAGAGTTTGTGAACAGAACTTAACTAATAGTCATTACAGGCTCTGGGCAGCACTGAGATGTGGTTGCATCTTCTTTGTAAGCTTCCGAAGAAAAATGCCTCCTCTTACTTTTTGCATCTATGGCTTAATTAAATGTGTTGGTTCCCTTTCTTCAGGCCCCTCTTACCTATCTTGAGCAAGGCTATCGTCTGGGTACAAACTGAATTCTTTCTAGATTTGTTCTGGGACTCTCACTCAGGAACCTGAGATTTTTCAGATAATGTTATATAGCAAAATGTAAAGTGGGATTGTGTCATTACCCTACTTTTTTCTGACCATAAAAGATAATGGGAAATATGCACTTTAATTTCCTGACTTTGGGATAGAGCTAAAGTGGTGACATCTTTGATTAGGATCAGATTAAATGTGTGGAGGAAGAAACAGGGAGCTCATTTGCCCTAGTCTCCAGACACCATCTCCCCTCTCCATGTTTTTTTTAATAACAAGTGGGAAAGTCATTGATATCTACTGGCTGCAACTTTCTTATGTGCCCCCCCCAAAGCAGTGCAAGGCAGTGTCCCAAAATTATGAATATGATTCTCTAGAATAAAACTTTGCTGCTTCAAGTCTCAAAATATGAGAAAAGATGGGCCCCATACAGTGGAAAGAATGTGGCCCAGGAGACTAGGGATGCTGGAAGAGAGTTGTATAGATTTTAATTCTGTTAACATCTGCTCAGAAAGCATCTATTTTGCACAAATCAATTCAGTAATCCCAAGTGTTTTGAGACCTGATGGGCTCTAAACTATCTTTTCAGACTGCTTTTTTTTTTTCTTTTAAAGAATATTGTGGTGGCAAACAGAAAAGATATTTGTACCTTGCTAATTATGTTTCCTCCCTGCCGACCTCCACTTAAGGAAAAAACAAAACAAAACAAAAAACAAACTGAAGCTGGGATTAAATTTCAGGAGGGGATTTACTTTTTATTTTTTTGTAAATAAAATACACCTGAGCAGCCATAGTAACTCTCATCTGCCCCTTGTCCTCTGGCTGCCTTCTGCTGAAGAAGCTCCTCCCTTTCTCAAATCACTGCATCTTATCTATACAAAAGTAATCCCTGGGTTTAGGGGGATGAGAGGGAGTTGAGTAGATCTAACGCACTCTCCTCTTCAAGGTTAGCAGTCTTGGCCTTGTTTGATTAGAGAGCATTGTGGTGTGGATGGGCATGAGAGTTCAAGGGATCCTAGAAGGGTGCTTGGCCACACCCAGGGCTTTCTCCCCACAGGATTAAGATCTGACAATAATGAGGCACTCCTTTTAAAAGGGTGTTGACTCAAGATGCAAACACTGACATGTGAGCTAAATAAAAAGTGAGGTATGTTTGTATGTGTATGAGGAAACACAACACCGTCCAACTTCAATTCTAATGGGATCCACTAGGCCCAGGGCCTAAAGTTAGTCTTTATTTAAGGAAATTCCCCCCAGCACAATCTCTCTTGACTATTGGGCAAGTTCTCAGTTTCCTCATCAGGAAAGTGGAGTAATAGTACCTAAGAGAATTGTTGTGAGCTAAAGAAATCTATCTTGTGTATGTAAATAATTTCCATGTGTCCAGCTAAGCTCTGCAATGAAGCCTTAGTTATTAGTGGTTGGTTGCTTGGATGGAGGTACTAACTGTAAATTCTCCCCACCCCCAAAGGGTCTTTGTCCACTTTTTGTTTTAGTAATGGATCAAAAGCTGGGTAGAGAAGAGTAGAGTACTTTTTTTTCCTGAAGAATTTTATTGATCAATGAGTTGCTTCCAAATAGTAGTTTGTTTCCATCGGTAGAGATGGGAGTTAAAGGGCATACATAGGGGGAGACAGCAGACAAAAGTACCTTAGAGGATTCCAGCAGCAATCCTCTGGGGCTCTGAAGGCCGGTGGAAAGTCAGGCTCTGACATTATTACCTGGATATGTCCATCCCCACTCTCCACGCAGTTCCCCCCACCCACCCCCTGGGGATTTCTTAAACTACTTAGAAAAAGAAAAGGAATGCTCTGAACAACTCAATGGTCACAGGAGGTCTCAATAGATACAGGGTGGATAGTGGGCCACATGTTTAGAAATTTCACCCAGAAATTCGCCAGAGAGGAAAGGCCCAGCGGGCAAATAGCACCTTGGTGTCTGGATAACTCTGCCACAATGTGAGCTTAATGCTGGATCAATGGATTGAGGACTCATCTTGGTCCTGGTGCATTTAAGAGGGAACAGGGGAAGATGGGAGACCTCCACTCTTCGCTTTGTGTCCGGCTCAGGTTCCAGCAGATAAACTGGTATCACTCCAGTTTGGGCTATGGAGGATGCGGGTCTGTGATCTTCTGCATCCGGTATGGCAAGCGCAATTTAAGGATGGACGGATGTGCGGGTGGGCAAAACTAGAGGTGGCTTTCCCTCCATGACCCCTAAAGGGACCTCCGCGCCACCCCTCGGTTCTCTCTTTCTCCCTCCCCCTCAGGA